TAGGTGTAGTCCCACCTGCTGCGACAGCAGCAGAAGAGGGCTTCTCTACGCTGCTGCATGTATTGAAGGCAGTGGTGCTAGGAGTACTACCCAGGTGGAGTGGCAGCAGTACTAAGAGTGGTACTGGCCGTACTCGTTGCAGCATTAGCAGCAGTATTCGCTCCACTGCCACCAGCACCACCAGCAGTAGGAGGCCTTTCCAGGCTGCTGCAGGTATTACAGGCGGTCATAATACTATCAGTGATACCAGGCCTAGTGACAACGGTATCAGAGGCAGCGCCAGCCGTACCGGCCGCAGTACTAACGGTGGTTTTACGTGGAGTATCAACAGCAACGGTTGCAGCAGGAGACTTCTTTAGGCTGCTGCATGCACTAGAGGCAGTAGTCGTATTGGACGTAGTGGCCGCTGTGGCAGCAGCAACACTAACACCAGAGGCAGCAGTGGTAGTGATAGTAGTAGTCCCGGACGTAGCCCCCCCGCTGTAGCAGCAACAGTAGTAACACTGCCTCCACTTGGAGTAGCAGCGGCGCTATCAGGAAAACTAGCTGTAGTATCAACAGCAAGAGCAACAGCAGCAGCAACACGAGAAGGCTTTTCTACGCTGCCGCACGTATCACAGGCAAGTGGCACCGCCGGCCGTAAAACCCGCTGTAGTAGCAGCAGTACCAGGGGTAGTACTGCTCGGACTAGCAGCAGTACCAGCAGTGGTTGCCGCTGTAGTATCGACGGCGACAGCAGCACCAAAAGAAGACTTGTCCATGCTCCCGCAACTATTGCGGGCGGTACTAGTAACATTAGTACTAGTAGCCGTAGGGCCTCTGGTTGTAGCAGCAGCAGGAGTACTACTGCTTGGCGTAGCAGCAGTTCTAGCAGCAGTACTCGCTGTAGGATCAACAGCGCAAACAGCTGCGAAAGGAGTCTCCTGTATGCTGCTGCACGTATTACGCGCAGGTAGCAATACGTGCTGCAGAACCGACAGTAGTAGCAGCAACACTATTGGCGGTGCTAGATGGAGTAGCGGCCAGTACTCGCTGTAGTATCAACAGCAGCAAAAGGCGACGTGCTCCTGCAGCCGCAGATACTAAAAGCAGGAGCAGTAGGAGTGGTACGGGCAGCAAGAGCAGTTGTCCTAGGGGCGGTTTCAGCGATCGTATCGCTTTTTACCACCATCGGCAGCAGCAGCAGCAGAGTCCTCTATGCCGCAGCAGCTACTATTGCGCGCGGTAATAGTACTAGCAGCATCACTGCTACTCTCTTCTAGAAATGCAGCAGTAGATATGCTTGATGGTGTTGTAGGCGTACAAGGAATGCTACCACCAACAGCAGCAGCAGCGGCAAACGCAGCAGCAGCACCAGGAGAAGGAGTGGGCGGAGGAGAATAGTGTACGTCAGAAAGGCAGTAACGAGAATGTACTGCATCAGCAGGAGCGGTAGAAGAAGACGTAGCGGTAGTAGTAGTGATAGTAGGGCTGCTACTCGTAGTAATAGTGGTAGTAGTGGTATTACTAGTAGTAGCAGCAATTTTGTGTGCTACGTCCTTAGCAGTGAAGAAAGGATGGTAAGTAGTAGTAGAAGCTTCAAACTCGATATCAGCAGCAGCACCAGCCGCTGCAGAAGCAGCAGCAGCATCAGCCGCTGCAGGAGCCGCCGCTGCAGCATCAGCCGCTGCAGGGACACTAGCAGCAGCGTCAGAGGCTGCAGGATTAGCAGCAGCAGCAGCAGCAACAGCAGTCGCTGGAGGGGTAGCAGCAGCACCACCAGCCGCTGCGGTGATAGCATTAGCAGTGCCATCAGTTGCTGCAGGGATAGCAGCAGCAATAGCATCAGCCGCTGCAGCATTAGTAGCAGCAGCAGACACTGCAGTAGTAGCAGCAGTAGTACCGGCAGCCGCTGCAGCAGAAGTAGCAGCAGCAGCCGCTGCAGCTGCCGTACTTTCGCAATCGATGTCGGTATGAATACCCTTTTTCAGCAGCAGGAGATGTCACACGAGCCGCAGCACGAGGTAGTTTATCCGCAGCAGCAGCAGACATAGTAGATGTAGGCGGGTGATACATAGATAATCGTTCTGTCTCTAGCGTGGCCCCCCACGCTGCTGCTGCTGCTGCAGCATCAGTGCCTGCAGCAGTAACAGTCGGTACAAGAGGGCTAGATTGGGCAGATACAGAACTAACAACCGGGCGCGGCAGCAGGTGCAGCAGCAGGTGCAGCAGCAGGTGAAGCAGCAGGTGCCGCAGCAGGTGAAGCAGCAGGCGCTGCAGCAAGTGAAGCAGCAGGTGCTGCAGCAAGTGCAGCAGCAGGTACGGCAGCAAATGCGGCAGCAGGTGCGGCAGCAGGTGCGGCAGCAGGTACGGCAGCAGGTGCGGCAGCAGGTGCGGCAGCAGGTGAGGCAGCAGGTGAGGCAGCAGGTGCGGCTGCAGGTGCAGCAGCTGGTGCAGCACCAGCCATGTCTGTAGGACTCTCCTCGCTCTTAGCAGCACGACCAGCAGCAGCAGCCCCAGTACCAGGATGGGGGGGGCAGCAAGTATCACGAGCACCATCACCAGCAGCAGGAACAGTGCCAGCAGCAGCAGCAGCAGTCCCGGTACGAGCAGCAACACCCAAAAGCAGCAGATGTCGGCGCGAGGAAAAGGAACCTCCGCAGAAGCAGAATTCCGGTCTCTGCCAGCAACAGCATTCGCAGCAGTAGCACTGTTAGCAGGAAGCGCTACTGCAGGAGTAGCAGCAATACAGTCCATTTCACCCCCCAGCACGAGCAGCAGCAACCCTGATAGCAACAGCTGCTGCAGCAGTAGCAGCAGTAGCACTAATCTCACTAGCAGCAGCAGCAGCAGCCTTGCGAGGAACAGCTATCTCAGCAGTAGCAGGAGTTACGTCAGCCCCGTTGCCAGCAGCAGCAGCAGTAATTAATAACATGGCTAGGTGAAGCCGCTATATTGACAGCAGCAGTAAAATCAGCTCTACCACAGCAGCAGCATCAGCAAGAGTACCAAGATGGGGGCCACAGCTGCTGCTGTATCAGCTGCTGCTGATATCAGCTGCAAAAGCAGATGCCAACGCAGCACTAGCGTGAAGAGGTGTAGCTGTTGCAGTGGTAGCTGCCGCGATGGCGTCCGCCACATCAGCGATAGCGCTACTACTATCACTGCTACTGCTCTTATAAACAGCAGCAGCAGCAGCGTAGCGTTTTCGGGAACAGCCAGAGCAGCAAGGGGTCTCAGCAGCAGCGGCAGCAGCAGATGTAGCTTTAGTAAGCAGGCATAGGTGCTGCAGCAGGGGCACCAGCAGCAACAATAGCAGCAGAGCTGTCAAGAGCAGCAGCTGCAGCAGTTGCGTCAGCAACAGCCCGCGGCTCCGCTACTACTACTAGCAGCAGCAGGCGCAGATGCTGCGGCAGCGGGCTGCAATAATATCCGCCCTACCAGGAGCAGCAGCGGCAGCAGCCGCATCAGGGGCTGCAACAGCAGCAGCGTTTTGCGGCTTCAGCAGCATCAGAATTGCTGCCACTAGCAGTCATAACTACTTCAGTAGTGGCAGCAGTCGCTACAGTCGCCGCAGAAGCAGCTGCCGTTGTAAAGGTAGGTGCCATGGTGGGAGCTTCAGCAGCAATGGCGGCAGCTGTGGTTAAAGAAGCAGCAATAGCAGTAGGTTCAGCCGCTGCAGCAGCCGCTGCAAAAGTAACTATACAAGCACCAGATTCACCAGAAGCAGCAGCAGCAGTGGCAGCTCCTGCCGCAGAAGGAGCTGCAACAGTTTTACAAACTGCTGCTGCTGCTGCTTGCCTCTTCTTCTCCGTGTTCTCCTTCTTCTTCTTGTTTTTTCTTCTACTGCTGCTGCAGTCGCTGTTGCAGGCGTTTGCAGTGATACTGGCAGTCGAAGAGGGAGAAGAAAGAGATGAGGAAGAAGAAGAAGAAGACGAAAAAGAAGCGAAGGAAGAGGAGGTACGCGTCGAGGACTTACACATCTCTGTACTTGCAGCTGTAGGAGTAGTGTGAGGCAGCAGCAACAGCATCTTCTCTCTTGTAGGAGGAAGCATGCGAAAAAATTCATGAAACAAGGAAATTCCCATAAAAACAGGAGAGAAAGTCACATGATAGATGTAACAAACCTGTGCGGCTGCTAGTATTACTTCTTCTCTTCCTCTTCACTGGTCCGGTGCTGCTGCTGCTGTTGCTGCTGTGGTCACAGATATGCCTGTCCGATGCTAGGAGACATGCCCCTGTCATCTCGGACGATGCCTGCAGTGCTGCTGCTGGTGCTGCTGCTGCCGGTCTTGCTATACGTAAAGCTGCTGCTACTGCTGCTTGCTACTACGACATGTAGAGCTGCTGCTGCTATTACTACCGCTGATATGACTGTCACTACTAGGAGCATTGCTGCTGCCGCTGGTGCTACTGCTGCTGCTGCTACTACTGCTGCTGCCGACGCCTGCCGTGATACTCCAGACCTTGTCTCTCGGTACCGCGGCTCTTCTCCCTATCTATACGACGAAGAGTACTACGCTGTTTACTAGTACTACTGCTGCTACTACTATCATTCGTATTGCTGCTGCTAGTGGCACTAGTGCCACAGCTGCTGCTGCTACTGTCGCCAGGACTGCTGGTGCAGGAACTGCTACTGATAGTAGCAGTGCTGCTGCACTTATGCTTTGTTCTGGTTGTGAGGCGTAGTCGGCCCCTCCTTTTCTTCCTGCGAATCTTCTTGTACTGTCTGCTGCTGCTATTGCCTGTTCCTTGCTGCTCCTGCTGCTGCTGTTTTCTCTTTCTCCTTCACCTCTACCGCCCCTTCTACCGATGACAGAATTCGATAGCAGCTGCTGCTGCTATTGTGGTTGCTACTGTTGCTGCTATCTATCACTTTGCATGTATACGACCATTTTGCATACTGTCAGTTCCGTGCTCTTTGGCTAGTAGTAGGTCCCGCGCATTCTGCGGGCTGCCGTATGCTGCCAGCGTCGGTGACGCTGCTGCTGCTGCTGGTGTGACTCCTCCTGCTGCTGTACCCCGCCGGTTGCTCCTGTCGCTCCTGCGGCTGCTGCTGCTGCTGGCCCTGCCGGTCCTGCTGCTGCTGCTGTTAATGCTCTTGCTGCTGCTGCTGCTGACACCACCCTCCTTCGTTGGATTGCCATTCCTTTCCCATTCGTAGAAGCGGGTAGGACTACGCCGTGTTCCCCTCCTGCTGCAGTAATCACGCGTCTACAGAGTTTCGTGGTCGTAGGCACTTGTTTAGCGGCTGCGCCTGCTGCTACTGCTGCTGCTGTTCCTGCTAGTGCTGCTGGTGCTGTTGCTTGTTCTTTCTCTCCTCCTCTCTCGCCTGCTTCCGCAGATGATGCATTTCCCACCTCCTGTGCTGCAGTAGCTGGCGGCGCGGCTGGCGAAGTAAGGTGCAGCACTTCTATCTGCTGCTACTGCTGCTGCTGTTGCCGCTACTGATGTCTTTTCCGCAGGAGCAGCAGCAGCAGCTACTACTGCCGCTGCTTCTGGCCTTTCCTTTATCAGTATCTTCGCTGTTTTATTTCTTCTGGCTGCCGCTCTACCAGGGTAGCTAGCCAGGCATACCCGCTTCAGCTTTAGGTATCTACTAGCCACTCTACTAGTACTGCTGCTGCTGTTGCTGAGAGGGCCGGCGCTGCTGCTGCTCATGATGCTGCTCTGCTGCTGCCCTGCCCGTCGTGCTGCTGCTCTTGTTGTTGTTGTTGCTGCTGCTGCTGTTGTCGCTGCTGCTGTTGCTCCTGCAGCTCTTGCTGCTGGTGCTGTTGCTGTTGTGAATATATTTGCTGCTGCGCCGCCCCCAACCCATGACAGTAGGCCAGCGGACAAGAGAGAGGAAGACAACCCTCGTCCCCATCCTTCTCCTTCTCTGTCTGCAGCAGCGGAGACGGGTGAGGCCATGACTGCTGCCCGCTGCTGTTGCAAGCGCTGCTTCTGCGGAATGTGCTGCTCCCGCTGAATTTGCTGCTGCCGCTGAATATGCTGCTGCTGTTGCTGCAACTGCTGTCGCTTGAGCTGCTGCTGCTGCTGCCGCCGCAGCTGCTTTCGTAAGAGTAGGTGACATTTACAACTCTCTCCATATCTGCTGCCACAATCTTCACATCTGATACGTAGACTCGGTTTGCAGGCGTCGTATGGATCTTCTTACCCATCTACTCGTAGCATCCGCCGATGCTCCTGCTCCTGTTGATGCTGGTCCTCCGGTAGGCGCGGCTGCTATTTACTGCTGCTCCTGTTCCCATTTCCTGCTGCTTTTGCTGCTGCTGCTGCAGCTGCTCTTGCTCCTACTGCCACTTTTGCTGCTAAAGCTGCTGCTGCCGCCTCTATGGGTTTCCCTGCTATTTCTTCTTCAGCGTCTTCCCCGTCATCATTTCGTGCGTTCCTGAGCAACGCCAATGCTGCAGCCGCTGCTGCTGCTGTTGTTCCTGTGACCACTGCAGTTCCGCTTCCATTCTCTTGTATATGCCGCAAGAGGCTTCCTTCCACCCCTCCTCCTCTTCCTTCACCCTTGTGTAGCAGGCAGCTGCTGCTGCTGCTGCCGCGTCTGCTTCCTGTGCTGCAGCAAGCAGCTGCGTCAGCAGCAGCAGCTTCCTCCGCTTCTTCAGCCGCCGCCGCAGCTGCCGCAGCCGCTGCCGCCGCCGCAGCCGCGGCAGCGCGTGACTTGTGCTGCTGGTGCTGCTGCTGCAGTCCCGACGTCACTGTGCTAACACTTCTGCGGGTAGCACCCAGCAGCAGCAACAGCAGCAGACGCAGCAGCACCGGTTGTCCTGCCTACCGTAAGGTTGCCACTACTACTCCTACCAATGCCACTCCTATACACAGCGGTAGACGGAAGTATAGTAGAAGCCACAGCAGCAGCAGCAGCAGCAGTAGTGGTTGCGGTCGGAGTTACAGCAGCAGCCGCAGGAGCTGTATGCCCTACTATCACTATTAGTACTACTACTACAGCTCCTATAGAAAGCATGATACAAAGGCAGGGTAGTATTGGTAGCAGCAGTAGTAGCAGCAGCCGCTATCGGCGTACTGTCACTACTGCCTGTCGCTACCTCGGTATAGAGTATTGGACGTGGGTACAGGAGCGTTAGAAGCAGTGGTAGTAGTAATAGCAGCAGCACTGGTATTACTGCCAGCAGCAGCACCAGCAGCTGCAGCAGCAGCCGCGGCCGCCGCCAGCCTGCCACTGCTGGTACTAGCGCAATCAACAACCGCGCTCCACGCCATTAGAGGAAGGTACAGTCGTAGAAGTAGTAGTAGCAGCAGTCATACGCGCGCAGCCAGTGGCAGTACAAGTAGCAGTAGTACTAGTACTACTTCTACCTCTTTCTTTTCTACTTTTGCCATCTCGAAGAGCTGTAGATGTTGCTGGAGGCCGACGTCCCCCTCGCTTTCTACTTTCTGTAGCCGCTGCTGCCTGCTGCTTCTGCTCCAGCTGCTGCTGTTGGTGCTGCTGCTGCTACAGGCACCTCTGACTTCTTCCTGCTTGCTCTATTAGCATAAAGGTCATACCACTAGGTAGAAGGTCCAATATATTTGTATAGCCATACATCTTTAGAGCCAGTAGGAATAGCTGCTGCTGCTGCTCTGTAGCCTGCTCCGGCCCCGGCTGTGGTATTATTGTCTTCGTCCCATCATTCTGTGTACCGTGTTGCCTGCCTCTGCCGCTCCACATATTGCTGCTGCTGCTGCTCCTCCTCTTCCCGCTTCTGCCGCGCATGTGGCTGCTGCTGCTGTAGTAGTGGATATTGTTGCTGCTGCTGCGTATGCTGCAGGTATACCAAAGCGCGCTGCTGGTGCTGGAGCTGCGGATGTTGCTGCTGCTGCTGCTGCTCCTGTTTCGATACGTGCCGCTGTTGCTGCTGGAGTAGTTGTTGCTCTGGAGCTTGTAGCACTTGTTGCAGGCGCCGCAGCCAGCAGCAACTGCTGCTGTAGACTCTGCTGCTTCACAGTCAATGCTGCACCGTTCTGATGCTGCTGTTGCATGCTCTTCTGCTGCTGCTGCTGCTGTTGTATAGACTCCCTCCAGCTGCTGCTTGTACGCGCGCCTGCAGCTGTTGTTGTATATTCTGCTGCTGCTGCTGCTCTTGTATGTTCTCTGGCTGCTGCTCCTCCTTGTCCCTTCGCAGGGCTGCCCTCCGGCGGCCTCTGCCTGCTGCTGCTGCTGCACGTTTGACACGAGGACTTCCACCCCCCAGCGCGCTAAAGGCTGCCGCGGCTGCTGCATGAGTAGCTGCTGCTGCTGCTGCAGCTGGAGTAGCTGCTGCTGTGGTTGAATCTGCTGCTGCTGCTGGTGGAGTAGCTGCCACTGCTGCGGCGGGCGCTGCTCCTGCTGCTGTAGTAGCTGCTGCTGGTGTTGCTGGAGTTGCTGCTGTTGCTGCAGATGTTGCAGCAATGCTGGTAGAATGATATCGCGGACCTGCTGCTGGTCTAACCCGCTTTGTTGCTGCAGCAGCGGGAGCAGTATTGGTACCGTTCTGTGTAGTAGAACTTCCCCCGCGTGCACAGCTGCTGCTGAAAGTATCTGCAGCCGCCGTAGATACAAGGTATGTTGCCGTGTCTGTGATGGTAGTACTTGCTGCTGTGGTAGTAGGCAGGGCTCCTGCCGAGTTGCAACCGACTGGGGCTGCTCTGGTAGGAGCAAGGACTCTTGCTGCTGCTGCGGCTGCTGCTGCTCCTGTTGTAGAGAAAGAGACTGCTGTTGCTGCTGCGGTGGAGGCAGTGTCTGCTGCTGCCGCTGCTGCTGCTGTAAGGGCACGGACTGTTGCTGCTGCTGTGGCGGAGACAATGACTGCTGCTGCGGCTGGTGCTGCTGCTGTTGCTGCTGCCTGGTACAGCTGCTGATGCTGCTGCGCTTCCTGCGGCAATGGAACTGATAAACCAGGCAGTGACGGTGTTCCTAAATTCCCGCTACTTGCCGCAGCAGCAGCAGCCTGTCCCCCACTTCTCCTTGCGGGGCTGTCGGTGGGAAGCCGACACCTGGCTGTTGTGTACGATCCGGTACTGACGACTGTGCAGCGGCCTGCTGATTTTCCTGCTGCCGCTGCTGCAAATGCTGCTGTTGTAAGTGCTGCTGCAATTGCTGCTGCTGCTGCTGCTGCTGCCAATTGCTGCTGCAACTGCTGCTGCAGTTGCTGCTGCAGCTGCTGCTGCAGGCTATGCACTTGAGGCTGCAGCTGGTACAAGGCCTGAGACTGTTGCAGTTCGTCTGGTAGCTGCAGCTGCTGTGGCTGTTGTATCGACTGCTTTGACACATGTTGCGGCTGTTGCTGCTGTTGTTGCTGCGGCTGTTGCTGCGGCTGTTGCCTGCTGCTTTTGTTGTGACTGGAGAGATAAAACAGCAGATCGCTGCAGCTGCAGCAGCAGGTGGCCGGCTTTCGGGTCCCGGGCAAGCTGCACCAAGTGTGGGGTATGCTGCAAGAGCGGCACCATTGATCGTCTGGTACTTCAGCCCGAACTGCTGCAGCAGCAGCAGCTGCTGTAGGTGCTGTGACACGTGCTCTGACGTCACCAACGGATGCTGCTGCACTCGACTCTGCGGCTGCTGCTGCTGCTCCTCTAGTTGCTGCTGTTCTTGTCTTGCTCCAGTTATTTGCTGCAGCGCACCACGCTCGGATGCTCCTACTGGTGCTGTTTCCGGCGGCCGCTGCTGCTTCTGGCGGTGTTGCTGCTTCTGGCGATGTTGCTGCTTCTGGCGGTGTTGCTGCTTCTGGCGGTGTTGCTGCTTCTGGCGGTGTTGCTGCTTCTGGTGGTGTTGCTGCTTCTGGCGGTGCTGCTGCTGCTGGTGCTGCTGCTGCTGCTGGTGCTGTACCCTGTTGGAGAAGAGAAGGTCTGAAGTTCCGTGCAACATTATCTCTTGACTGGCGTTGCTGCTGCTGCTGCTGTGGTGTCATACGCACTTGACCATGCATCTGCTGCTGCTGTAGCTGCTGAGGTAGCTGCTGTCGTAGCTGCTGAGGTAGCTGCTGTTCTAGCTGCTCCTGCTGCCGCTCAGGTGTCATACGCTCTTGACCCTGCATCTGCTGCTGCTGTAGCTGCTGCATCTGCTGCTGCTGTAGCTGCTGCGGTAGCTGCTGCTGTAGCTGCTGCTGTAGCTGCTGCTGTAGCTGCTGCTGTAGCTGTTGCTGTAGCTGCTGCTGTGGCTGCTGCGATAACTGCTGCGGCAGCTGCTGCAGTAGCTGCAGCTGTAGCTGCAGCTGTAGCTGCAGCTGTAGCTGCTGCTCTAGCTGCTGCTGTAGCTGCTGAGGTAGCCTGCTGTTGTAGCTGTTGCTGTGGCGGCTGCTGCGACTGCCGCTGTGACTGCTGCCATAGCGGCTGCGGTAGCTGCTGGTGAAGCCGCTGAGGTAGCTGCTGCTGTAGCTGCTGCTGTAGCTGCTGCTGTGGCAGCTGCTGGAGGTGCTGTTGTGGCTGCTGCTGTAGGCGCTGTTGTGGCTGCTCCTGTAGCTGCTGTTGTAGCTGCTGTTGCAGCTGCAGCTGCAGCTGCCGCTGTACTTGCTGCTGCTGCTGTGGCTGAGAGTGTTGCTGCATGGTATCTGGGTACTGCTGGACCTGCTGTAGAAGCAGAGCAGCATGTCGTTGCCGCTGCTGTAGCAGCAGCTGTGGTTGCTGCTGTTGCAGCAGTTGTAGCAGCTGCAGCTGTTGCGCAGGTGGTTTCAGCTGCGGCTGCTGCTGCAGCTGCAGTTGCGGGCCGCTTTACTTCTGCAGGCGATGGCTGCTGCTTCTGCTGCAGCGGTGGCTCCTGCTCCTCCTGCTGCAGCTTCTGTAGCAGCTGCTGCCGCTGCTCCCGCGGTTGCTGCTCCGTGCGGGTCCTGTTGCAACCAAGGTTGCTCCTGCTGCTGCTCCTGCTGCTGCAGCCCTTGAAAGGATGGTAATCGCGGCATCGTTGCAGAGGCAAAAAGAAGACTCGGGTGCTGCTGCTGGTGGTGGTGCTGCTGCCTCTTGTATTGCTGCTGCCCCTTCTGATGTCTGCTGCTGCTGAAACTCCTCCTGGCATTGCTGCTGCTGCTGCTCTTGATGTTGCATTGCTGCTGCTGCTGCTCTTGATGTTGTTGTTGCTGCTGCTGCTGCTCCCGCTGGCGCTGTTGCTGCTCCTCCTGAAGCTGCTGCTGCTGCCGCTGATGTTGCTTTTGCTGATCCTTCTCTTGACACTGCTGTTGCGGCTGGGCCTGATGTTGCTGCTGCTGCGGCTCGGCCTGACGCTGCGGCTGCTGCGGCTCGGCCTGGTATTGCTGCTGCTGCTGCGGCTGGGCCTGAAGTTGCTGCTGCTGGGGCTCGACCTGAAGTTGCTGCTGCTGTTGCTTGTCGTCCTGCTGATTCTGCAGCAGCTGCTGCTGCTGCCCCTGGTCTTCTTGCAGGCCATCCTTTGTCTTCAGGCGTACAAAGCAACCGTCTCGTCGACTGCACAGCGGCTGCTGCTCCGCGCCGGAGAACCGAGGCTGCTGCTGTTGCTGCTGCTGCCGTGAATGGCGGCTATGATGCGTAAGCAAGCTGTCCTGCTGTTGTTGCTGCTGCGGTTTGTGGGGCTGTGTGTGCACAAGCGGTTGCTGCTGCTGAATTTGCTCCTGCTGCTGTTGCTGCTGCTGTTTCTCGCGAGTCTCCTGTAACGGCTGGTGCACTTGCTGCGTACAATAGTGCTGCTGCTGCTGCTGGTTTCCCTGTGTCTGCTGGAACTGCTGCTGCAGTTGCTTTGGGTGTTGTTGCTGCATTGGGTGGTGCTGCTGCTCCTGCTGCTGCTCCTGCTGCTGCTCCTGCTGCTGCAGCTGCTGGCGCGCCTGCTGTAGTGCCTGTGCAGCGGCAGCAGCAGCCACATCTTGACCGACTGCTACATCATTGGGGGTCACCTGCTGCTGGCAGAGAAGCAGCTCTTGTGGCAGGCTCTGCGGCCGGCACAACGAGAGCAGTTGCTGCAACTGCAGCAATTGCTGCTGCTGCTGCTGCAGTTGTTGCTGCCGCTGCTGCTGCAGTTGTTGCTGCTGCTGCTGCTGTCGCTGCAATTGCTGCAGTTGCTGCTGCTGCTGCTCCTGCTGCAGTTGTTGCAATCGCTGCTGCTGCTGCCGCTGCACCAGCACGATGTAACGCTGTTGCTGCCGCTGCTGCTCATTCCCTCCTTTCAACTGCTGCAGCTGTTGGCGCTCTCGGTGTTGCTCCCCCCCCTGTAGCTGTTGGTGTTCCTCTGCTGAAGCTGTCTCTTTATGCTGCTGCTGCTGCTGTGGCTGCGGTTGCTGCTCTTGCTGCTGTTGCTGCGGTTGCTGCTCTTGCTTCTCGTGCTGCTGCTGCTTCTGCTTCTGTTCCTGGTCCCGCTGGTGCTCCTTCTCTTTTTCCTGCACTTGCTCCTGCGCTTGCTGCTGCTCGTGCTGCTGCTCCTCCTCCTGCTCTTGCTGCTGGTCTTGCTGCGGCCGCTGCTGCTGGGCTTCCTCTTCATGCGTCATTAATTGCTCAGGAGAGGTGTGCTGCTGCCCGTGCTGCTGCAGCAGCTGATAATGGGGCTGTTGTTGCCGCTGTTCTTGCTGTTGCATCAGCCACTGCTGTCGCTGCTGCTGCTGCTGCACAAGCTCCTCCTCCACTTGCTCCTGCTGCTGCTGGTGCTGCTCCGCGTGCTGCTGCTGCTGTGGCTGCAGCTGCATGATGAAGACTGCTGTACTACACGTCTCCGGTTATCCGACAGCTTCGCAAGCGATTCATCGCTCACCATCTGCTGCAATCCAAAAACCGCGTATAAATTTCCTTCTGCTCTTCTTTCCTCCCTCCGTTGCAGCTGGAGCACCCATAGATCACCTCTCTGCCGCGTTACTCCCGCTGCTGGCCTGCCTAGTAAGGCTGTTGCTGCTGCTCCTAACGCTGCTGCTACCAGTAGTAGTGCTGCTGCTGCCGCCAGTGCTGCCACCCCGTGCTGCTCGTGCTGCTGCTGCTGCTCCTCGCTGTGCTGCTGCTGCATCCGCTGCTGCTGCTGCTCCCGCAGCTGCTGCTGCTCCCGCAGCTGCTGCTGCTCCCTCTGCTGCTGCCGCTCCTGCGGCTGCTGCCGCTCCTGCTGCTGCTCCCGCTCCTGCTGCTGCTGCTGCTGCTTCTGCTGCTGCTCCCGCTGCCGCTGCTGGTGGCCGCATCGACTCCCCAGCTGCCACTCCTCCCGCTGCCGCCGCGGCCAATCAGACTGTGCAGCTGCTGCCGCTGCCGCGGTGTGCCGTCGCTAGTCGTACTACTTACCGTGCCTACTGTACTTCTTTCGATGGACAGATAGAAATTCGCCACTACTCCCAGGTTTTCATTACGTCATCCGCAGAAACTGGTAGAACGAACCTGGTGTTATTATTATTGATGAGAAAGTGGCTATGCTGCTCCCCCTCGGACTGCATCACTCTCTTTCTCCCCTTCATACACAGCTCTTCCACCCGCTCTTACCTTGCCACTACTAGTGCTCTACGTACATGTATCAGTATATATATATATATATATATATATATATATATACATGTATATATATATATATACCTACATATAACATATATATACATGTAAACACGTGTGTTGGTATTATGCACGTGAAACCGCACGTATATCTCTTCAGACACATAGACTGAGCGTACATGCGTATACATATATATATATATATATATATATATATATATATATATATATATATATATATATGTACCACTACTACTGCGGAAGCCACTGCCGATACTACAGTTAGTAGTTGTACTACTGCTAATACGAATGCCATACGACACAACTGCTATCGCTATCCACCGTGTACTAACATTACTGGTACTAGCACGAGTACTACTATCGCAACTACAGCTAGCAGGCATACTGTACGACCAAATCTACTACTGCTACCACTATCCAGGCAATACTACCACTACTACTCGTACGACTACTACCACTACCGAGACGAATACTAGACTACCGCAACTACTACTGCTACCTTACCGCTACTACTACTGCTATTACCATCCCGCCACTACTAGTAGCGGTACTACTACTAACACCACAGTAACTATGGCATCTATTTGTTAATGGAGCAGAATGCATCGTCCACTGCAGGTGGTCGTCCGTAAGTTATCTGCTATCGCCTCTTTTCCGATTGCCGAGTCGGAGCTGAGGCTGAGGACTTGTTACGAGGAGCTCTACGGATTTCTAGGCGCTTAGCAGCCCTCCGCAGTAACATGCAGATCTTCGTTCATAGCGCTGCCACACGCTTTAGGGAAGAGGTGTCTAGCAAAGTCAGCACAGAATGTTCTTCACTAGCGGTGCGACACGCCGTGGCGAAGAGTATGTGTATGTATGTGTGGTGTACACGTACGTAGTGGCGTACGTGTGTGTGTATGTATGTACAAGTGCGTGCGTGTATGTAGGTGTGTACCTTTACATGTAAATGTCCGTGCATCTGTGTACATACATATATTCGTCGACAACCCTGCAAGGCACTTCGTAAAAAAGTGTCCAATAAATTCAGCGGACACTCATTTTCAGTTGAAGGAAGGGGCAGATTTTCGTCACTAGCGGCGCAAGACACTCTGGGGAAAACTATATTCATGTATGTGTAATGTGCAGGCACGTATGTAGGTGTGTATGTGTATTTGTGCGGGCAGGTACGCATGCGTATCTGTTTATATGTCTGTGCCTATGTATATATGTATGTGTGTATATTCGTCACTAGCAGTGCAGCACGCTTTGAAGGAGACTATTTCATAGATTTAAGAGGCATTCATTCTTATCTGGCACGCGACCTGCTTCGCACACATGTGCAGAGGATATACCTCGTGAACAAACGTTCACTACAGGCAAGCAGCCTCGACGCTACCAGTGCGCTACCGCGGGCGCTGGATGCGGCACTTGTGGGAGAGACGATCTGATAGGAGGAAAAGGACATCTGTTCTCTAAAGACATGCTATCTCCTTCGCAACACTCAGAAGAAACCTCCAGCACACTTCCGGCAAGACATTTCGATAAATTAAAGAGCTACACGTTTTTAATTGACACGCCACCTCCGTCCACACAGCCGGAAAGACAGTTTCTGATAGAGTCCGCTAGAGGCCAGCCGTCTCGCCGCCTCCAGTCCGCTAGTGCGAGCGCTGGCTGCAGTAGATGACGGGAACCTTCAGTGTCAATCGACACGCCAACACCGCCTCAAAAACCCGCGAAAAGAAATTCTTCATGATGGAAACACTACACACAAGCCGTCTCAATGCTTCCACTTCGCTACTGCGAGCGCTGGCTGCAGGAGAGCTGATGGATATTCATGCTCAGTCAACACGCCACTCCCTCTCCACACATTTGCGAAGAGGACTTCGTCGAGATAGCATCACTAGGGACAAGCCATCTGGAGGCTTCCAATCCGCTACTGCGGGCGCTGGCCGCAGTAGACTGGAGGGTATTCAATCGTGGCCGAGACGCATCTCCTCCTTACACACTCGGGAAGGGAAGTTTTTCACGATAGAAGTACTAGAGAAAAGGCGTCTCGATGCTTTCACTCCGCGAGTGCGAGCGGCGGCTGCGGGAAATTTGAAGGATGTTCATTCTCAGTCGGCACGCCGTCCGAGCGAGCTTCGTCAAGGTAGTATCACTGAGAGAGTCTCTCGCCGCTTCCAATCCGCTATTGCGAAACTGGTTGCTGGCGAATTGAGGCATACCCGATTTCAGTCGACACGCCATCTCCGCTTCATACACCCGGGAAGAAAAGTTCATCGTAATAGGATCACTAGAGAGAAGCCATCCCGCCGCTTCCGATGCTTACTGCGAGCGCCGGCTGCAGGAGATTTGGGGAACGCTTATATTTTAGTCGACACGCCATCTGCTTCTCCCAGCTATGTGGAGAAACCTTCATCATAATGGTGTCGTTGAATACAATGCCTTTCGCCGCTTCCAAAGCCCTGCTACGGGCGCCGGCCACAGACGGCTGGAGAAATATCCATTCACAGTCGATACAGCATCCCCTCTCATACTCGCGGGAAGAAGACGTCTCCATGATAGTATCACTAGAGACAAACCCTCTGGATGCTTGCACTTCGCTACGGCGACCGCGGGCTGCGGTAGATCCAAGAGATATTCATACGCACACATGTGAAGGAGAATCTTTCACGTACTAGTGTCATTCGAGACAAGCACTCTGGACCACTGTCAAGCCGCTATTCTGACCGCTGGCTGCGGAGAGATATGCATTCGCAGTCGACACGCCATGGGCTTCGCGCACCTATAAAGGGGAACCTTTCACGCGATAGTGTCACTGAAGAGAGGCACTCTGAACGCTGCCAAACCGCTACCGCGGGGCTGGCTGCAATAGACTGGAGGGACGTTCATTCGCAGTCGACATGCCATCTGCTTCGCACACACTTGAAGGGAAATTTTTTCCGTGATGGTCTCGCTAGAGACAAGCAGTTGGATGCTGCCATGTCGCTACTGCGGGTGCTGACTGCTTTCGTCTTCGCAAATCCCAGCTGCGGGCCGTTGCTGAAACAACGGCACCACCCGGACGGCTGCACTTCACTGGCGTAAGGAAACCTCTCTCGCACCGCATCACTGGGTCCTCACGTACGTGATCGGCTGCCGCACCCACTACATGAACATATAGGGATTCTCCATGCCACTGTTGAACAAGTGCAGCGCACGTGGGATTCTATTCTTCTGGGCTATGCACACCCCGCCCCGCACTACATCCTCCGCACGTGATAAACTACGAAGTCTACTGAGTGAAAACATAGAGAATCTCCGCTGCACTGACGAACAGCTGCGGTACCCGTATGACTGTAGTCCTCTGGGATATGTACGCCTCCGACGCGCTATATCCTTACGTACATATCGACTATCGTCCCGCAGCGTCCTCACGTACATGATAGCTATCGCACCTACAGGAAGAAAACATATGCCCCTCTCCTGTCAGTGACGAAACAGCTGCACCACCCTCAAGACTGTAGTCCTTTGATGTGTGTAACATCTTGTAGAATTAGGTGAACTGCACACATACATAGATATACGTGTGCATATGTATATATACGTATATATATATATATATGTGTGTACATACATATACATATACATGTATACATGTACACACATATGTAAGCGTACTCGTATGCATACTTGGGTTCGTGTTCAGCACTGCCTGCTCGCGCAGAACATAAACCACAGCAGGGATGTGACGAGATCGTAGGGACGCTCCGCCACGAGCTTACGTACACAGACTACAACACCCTGGAAGACGAGAACACGGTGGCACTCCGCCGGAACTGCATCAGGAGCTTACGACTGCTTAAGCGTCTTTGTATCAAGAGAGAAAAGAAAACTGCGCTCTTGCCTCAAGCAGCAACGGCAGTCGCGGTGACGCAATCGAGAGCAACAAGAAGTGGGACTCGAATTCACGTCGGAAGCAACCCACATCGACAACAGCGCACCAGTGAGGGTATCCGCACACCGCAGAGCGTACGAAATACAATGTTCATGAACAAATACATCGCGGGCCTCGGCAGGTGTGTTGACGTCCACATGCTGCTCCACGCCCACCGCAACGTAGCTCGCAGGCAAGACTACAACTGAGGCGGCAGGCGCTACAACAAATCATAGGGGCAGCTTGTCTAACAATTGCACGATGCCACTATACGTGTCCTGAACAAATACCGTAATGAGGACGCTGTTCATACGCTGGTTCCCACACCTAGTGGATATGCAGGAGATGTACAGTCGACGCCCCGCACATGAGCGTCCTAGCGCGAGCACGCCAGCCTTTCTACAGGAAAGCAGGTGCTAACGCTCAACAGCAGCACGCCCTCAAGACACCGCTGTTGCATCCAGAACGAGCTACACAAGCAGAAGGAGACCTGCCAGTCGGCTGAATTCTCCATTAGCATTACGTCCAGCTCTGCAGCCAGCAGAAGGACTCGTTGTTCCAGCAGAAAGAACTGTTTGAACAGATGGTGAGGGCGACGTCATTCAGCCCGTGCGCTTCCCACATACGCATCTTACGTGGCTGGCGGGTCTCCGTACACATGTGCTACCGTTTGGGCCAGACTTACACCACACCCGATTCCCTAACGTCGAGGGCTAGGTGGATTGTGAGCGAGCGAATACCGTGTATGCCCACAGGTGCGTGCCCTTTTGAGACTGCTTCTTCTTGCTTCTTTCTATGTTAGTCTTTAGCAGTCGCCGCCCTTGCACACGTGTGTTTCCTCGCAATCACTACGAACGTCCTGTAAGCGACGTAGTGCCATACATGCTAACCTGTCGCCTGCGCATGCTCCGTCGGGCGGACTTGAGCTGCTGCGAATGTGTCCGCCGACGGTATATATATCACTGATCACAGGCGGGCCGATACATATTTGGTGTATCCCCTATCGCCTACCTCTGAAACGTCTACATCCCTCTCTGAGTGACGACCTGGGTGCAATGCGCACCTGCCGCTCGTCGACTAGTGTACGCATGTTCACGTACATCAGGCTGCGTAAGAACGCGCACAGAGGGAAGTCCGGGAACACGTATTGCGTGCTGTACGGGTCCAATAGTCCAGTTGATTATCTGTCTGGCGTCGGAGCACGCTCTCGCACGGCCTACGTAGTTGCCAACCCATGCTCGTAAACGCGCGCACTTCCCGCAAGGAGCTGCGCAGCTTGTACGACATGTAAACTGCTGCTGCGCACGAACGCAAACGCACCCATTGCGGGATTAGAACAGCGTCGGCCTCGCACGCTTCCGCGGTCAGCCGTCGTTCGCGTACAAATGCATTTTTGTTGCAGGGGCAGAACAGCTATACCTTGCGCACTTAACACTCCCATGCAATGTCATGCGGGTGGGGCGAGATCCCTGCTCTCCCCTCTTGGCCCGTCCGACGCGTCCTTCAAGCGCCAGTGTAGAAGTCTTCCCCGTAGCACTAAGCAACAGCGCCACTTCCCTCCCTTTGCTCGCAAAGAAGCATATATCCGTACGCCTGCGCTGGGGCGAGAGGCAACACTCACGGTCTGCACGTACACTCGCGGACGGTGACGTTCCACTATACGAGGCTTTACATCCCCTGCGCATAGCCTACAGACTTGGACTCTCGACGTTCCCCTTTTGCATGACTCTGAGCCAACCGCACGCGCGTACACAAATTCGCTGCTGCGAGTTACAGTGAATGGTGCTACTACTACAACTACTACTGGCGCTCCTGCTGCTGCTGTTGCTACAGGTACTATTACGAGTATTACTACTGCTGTAGGTGACACTGCTGCTGCTACTACAGGCGCCATTATTGCGATTACTACCAGAGTCCGGACTTCCGGGGGCAACGGCAAAAAAAGGGAACCTCTGATGCCACCGTGCTTGTACACAGTTAGCCGTCTCCATTGTTTTGTATAGTCCTACTGCGCTCCCCTGCGCCGAAGCTCATTGTGAGAAAGTCAAGGCAAATCTTCAACGTATCGAGTGTGGTTGGGGTGCAAGCGCCAACATGCGTCAAAAGGCAGCTCTCTGTGGCCCTGCACACACTCTCTGCAGGCTTCCGCGATAGCGCATGTGCAGCGCTGCTGCAGAGCGTCCATATGCACTCTTGGCAGTTCGCACACAAGCGCACGAACACCAACGCACGTCAAAATATCATAAAGGTAGTAGAGGGCGGAGGGTGCGTATCATGCCTCTTCGAAGTAACTCGTGCGCGTTCGCGACTCTACAGGAGTATATGATGCCTCTGTGCGCTACCACAGACCCATAAGTACCCGCGTGTGTCCACTTTTAGACGTCGCAGTCGCGTTAGTGACTCGCACGAAGAAACCGACGAAGACGCAGCAGTGTGCGTGTTATTTTTTTCAGGATCACCCCACCCACACAGCGAAGGCTTGCACGTATGCCGTGCCTGGGCGGCCAGCTCTTTTGTGTACCCTGCGGGAGGTTCTCCAGTGTGCGAGCGCTTTTACAGCAGGAGGAGAAAGTAAGCTCTGGTGGCACAGCTCTTGTCGCGGTCAGACATACGTCTGTTCTTCGGTTATGTCTGCGCGGTCGCGTAGGACTGCGCGACATACTGCTGCAAGAAAAGGGGGGGCCTACACCCGTTGCACCCATCCGGAGAAGCTTTCTTGCCGGATACCGTTCCCAAGCGGAGGGATACGGTTGCCACGTATCGTGCATTCTTCCTACACGGATAAAGCTCGTCGTCTACGCTTCGCACGGCACCCACTGCACGCGGCCACAAAGACGCCCTCGCCCGTCTGCCAAGTGACGTGCGTTGCTCCTGGACGAATAGAAGTAATCGTCACCTGTCCCCACGACAACCGTTGCACCCGGCAACACAGTCTCTCGTGCTCGGTGACCACCTAATTTGTAGGACAGGAGTGCCACGCATGGTGCAGTGCTTCAATAAAAAGTCATCACAGCTGTTCGCACGACCATTGTCGTGGCACAATTCTTTCACAGCATCGTCAGTCCCGTATGTCCACGGAGACCAGCAAGTGTCCTCCCGGCCCTTGAATAAGAGAGCTATCTCTCTGCGATACACCATTTGTACTTCAGTGCGAGTAAAGCTGTCAGCAACCGTTCGCACGGCCGCTATCGCGGCACAGCTCTCGCTCCGCCGGGCGCGCCCCATTCGCGGGTAGACAGGTTAATAGAAGTTCGGCGAAATTCCCGCCTGTGCATGCGGCCTCCGCCTCCCTAACAGTAGCGTGGGTGGCACGCGCTTCTGTTGTTGACCAACCAGTACGCTGTAGAAGCCACCGCGATGGCGAACCGAAGTGAGCCACCCTGCTGGCGTTTGTGGAGAAGTGTAACTCCAAAAACCTCTAAAGCATCCTCCTCTCACGTTCGCCGCTTACCGAAGGACTCTCTTTTGCTACCACGGCCCGAGCTGTCACGTTGCGCTGCTTCCTTATACCTCCCGAACTATCAAGTCCTCCATTTGGAACTCCCCTCTGTCAAGAAAGACTCGCCGTCAAAGCGATGCCCCCAGAGGGGATGAAAAGTTGGAGGCCGCTAAGCGATGCTTCTTCAAACGCTCAAGAGCGCAGCCGTAGACCTGATCTCCAGTTCTAGCAGAACTCACGGGAGGAACATACACCCTCGACGAAGCGGCGCTTGTCTGTCGCTGTCAATGGTGGCCGCGGAATACGAACTGAAAGGCGTACAGGTAGTTTCTAGTGTGGCCCTCCCCGCGTGAGCAGGGCCGCCTACTGGTACCCTGGTCTTGCGCGCGGGTGATTTGAAGAGGGAGATCCCTAGTCACCGAATGTTCTCCGACCGATGCGCGGAGCAGGACCCTCAATACGCCTTCTTCTCATGGCTCTTTCAAAAATTCGCTTCGATCGCGTCTGATACGTGCTCCCACAGATTCCAACACCTTCCGGAAGCATTCTTTTGCATATTGAACAGCCAACGCTTGAACGCTGCAAATATTACACCTTACGCAGTGGCCTGGAAGTGCGTGACACGCCTGCAAAGCGATTGTATCCGGTCCAGCCTGCCAGCAAGGACAGTCCAGCAGGATGCCGCGCGGACCACAGAGACACAGATGCGTGTGTTTAATGTGAGTGCGAGACTCCCGGGGTTGCGACGGAGCGCTGACGTCTCAGAAGCCGTGGGTATGGCGCAGGACTGCCGGACACGATAGCTACCGCTTTTCCAGGAGTGGCTGGTTTCAAGATGCATTCCAGGGAGATTTGCTTCGCGCACGCTCTTCAGAGAGCGTTAGGCGGACAAGCTCGCGGACCCCCCCTACAAGGTCCACTATCCCTCCGTGGGGGGCCAACGGCTGTCCAGAATCCGCCGCTTCTGAGGCAGGCGCCAAAACCCTCTACCCGGCCCAGCCAGGACGCCCGGTGCTTCAGTGCGCTGTTGGAAAACTGCCCGTCAGGTGCCGAGCTACAAGCTGGACTAGGAGGGGATGATAGTACAGCGGATGCGGCCCCGGGGACTTGCATCCCAGGCAGACTAGTCTGTGGTCTGTGCTACCTTGATAGAGTGGCACCAACGTCTGGCAGCACGATTAGTCTCGATTTAGCGCCGCAGGTTCAAACCTGCATCTACTTTGACGAAGAGCACACTACTCTTGTGGGCACGGGGGCCCATTCCCATCAACACCTTGAGAAGCCACAATGAGAGGCACCCGACGGGGGACAGGCAGGCCGATACACGATGCACGCGCCACACCTAGCTGCACGTGAGAGAAAATGTTAGGGCCTTGCCGCACTTCCGGCGAGGCACCGATACGCGGGCTGGCCGCGGCTGGTGCTGTTACGCGCCCAGTAGGGTGCGATGCCGCAGGACACATAGCGGGGCCTGCGTTGTGGATGATAGGAGTTGATGAGTTAGAATGCGTGACAGGCACCGGCGTCGATTCCATATTCATTTCTTTGCGCTGCTGCAGATGTCTGTTTCGTCGTGCGCGGCGAGCCCATAGGCAAGCCTCTTTCGACTTGCCTTCGGGACTCCTTTCTGCACCGTCTTCCTTTCTTCTCCTGTTGTTTTTGCACTCCTTCGAGTGCTCCAGGAAAAGCGCAGCTGGCCGACAACCATTTGGCACCTTCCCGTAGACCGTGCCACTTGCGCAGCTTCGGTGCTCTCCACCGGGGCTGTCGCTGTCGCCACGTTCTCCTTCGCTGGTGTCTGCGGAATCTCCTGCTTGTGCTGTCCCCGCCTCGGTTTCGCTAATCGTCGTTAAGGCGCTGGAACCACTGGCGGTGTGGCCTGCGTGTTCTGCGTTCAACGCACGCTGTGTCACTTCCCCCTCGTGGGGGCCTGCAGTGCATACGACAGTCGCTGCTCTCTCCATTATTGCGCTCACGAGGCTCTCGAGGACTTCACTCCTCCCTGAGACAGTTTCATGCTCACTGGGCTGTTCAGCGCATAGTCTCAAGACGCTCTTGGTTGCCGAGCGCCCTTCGTCAGACCTGCCTCGGAGACTCGGCACTGATTCCCATTTTGCGGACGGTGTGGGCTCGTCTCTCGATGCTCTTTTATGTCCGCTTGATGCGTTCGCTCCCGGTAGATCTTCACATTCGGACGCACCGCCTGCAAATGCGGAGCCACTTATACGCGACTGCGGCCTGCCAACACCTCTCGCTGTCTCGTCCGACGAACTGATGATATACGCGCACATGCCAGGAACGTTTAGTAATGCGCCAAGGCACTGTTCCAGTTGACGTCTAGTCTGGGCTGTCTTTTCTTCGCTGCTGACCGCTGCGAAAACTCGGCCGGGAACCGTTTGGCATCCACGCTTCTGACCTGCGTTGCCGTCTCCCTGTGGCGCATCCGCCGCCTGCTCGCCTTCGCCCTCAGTCCCACCGCTGGTCCCCCGGAGAGTGTCTGCATCCTCCCCCGATGCCTTAGGCACCCGTTGAAGACCTTGTCGTCTTTGACTTTTACGGCCCTTTCGCCTTGACTCTTGTTCGCCAGGATGATTTCCCTCGAGAGCGGAAGCGGCAGGGTCTGCTGTCGCCTGTCGGACTCCCGCGGACGCTATCGCCTGGACTGAAGCTCCATTTACGTCTATATGCTCTCCCAGCCTATCTTCCTGAAGAGACTCTGCGTAACTTCTGAAATATTTCATACACCGCCGAAGTCCTCTTGGCGAACTTCGTATGTTTGCTTTCCGCGTCGCTGTCTTCACATTTTCGCAATGGACCCCAGCTTTCTTTCCTCTTACGGGCGCCCGCCTGCCCCCACTACCTCCATGTCTTCTGATGAAAAATCTTCCAGCGTACTGCAGAAATCCTCGTCGTTGTGCTGGCGCGGAGCCCTGTGTACGGGCGGTCCTTGCCTTGTGTGTCTCGCAATCATCCGTCTGCAGTCCGCTTCTGCAAGACGCCTCCCCCGAACGCCTTTCTGAGAGTGCAAACCTTAGCGCCGCACGATTCCCACGAGGTGGTGTACCGCATGGTTGTCCAAAGGACGCGGTTTCGTCGCTTTTTTCTCTATCGTTGTCACCGGCGTACGCCGCAGGCCTGCGGAACAGAGGCAGAGACGCGCGGTCGCGCCTCTTGAAAGGTCTCAGCAGTGAGGCGCAAGAGGCGAGCCTTGCGAAGTTCAGAGCCAGCCACAGGCCCACTATCCTCATCCTTCAGGAAAGCGTGTAATCATTTCCTGCTCCTCACCCATACGACAGCTTGCTAAACTCGCGAGCTACCTTCACTTGAAGGGCCTGTCGCCGAGGGACAGGGTACGCCTGTCGTACGAACAGGCCTTTTTGCCGTTTGGCAGAATAGTCAAGGGCGGCCACCGCACACGCCCGAAGTGTGTGGCGACACAGTAGTCTGGGGGTTTCAGAGCCACAGATCTGCTCAGGACGCCGAGGGCTCGATGAGACGAAATAGAACGCACGTGGCTGAGGACGCCCTGCCAAATCTATTATGTCCGCGCACTGAGGGGTTAGTTAAGACGCACGGCGCGCTAGACAGTTAAACCCGCCATCAAACGATGTTAGGAGCGTGTATTGAGCTTCAGGCGGACTGGCAGGCGCTCCCTGATAGGCGCGCTTTCGAGGGCTGTCGGTAAGCGGATACACGCAGGGTACGAACGGCCATTACCTTGATCACCTGGAGTCTCGAGCATGTCTGCGCAGCCGTCCGTATACTATGGACCGCACGTGCTGCGTGAGCGTCATGATCGCTCTGTGATGACCGAACCGGAGGCCGCAGACTGCGTTGAGGGCTCTGTCCTACCTCAGAGGACACCGCTTCTGTGTGCATCGTAACAGACGTCCTGGCCGGAGAGTCTTTCTGCACACGTCGCCGCCTCGTTCATGCCCACAAAATAGGGTATCCAGCGTCCGCACTGGTATATGACGTCACCTGTGTGGCACACGTTAGTTTACGCGTGTTTAAATGCCACGGATGTGACAAAGCTGGCACCTCAACGGAAAGGTCGTCTGACGAGGATATGCGAACTCTCCCTCCTCAGGCGGCTCCTATAAAGAACGTCTCTAAGACGCACTGCAGTGCTGCTGGACGTATAGACACGAATTCGTTCTGCACTGTGGCAACACTCGCCGGAGGACGATGAATGCTCATTGCGAATCGTTGCGGTCATACATTGGACACGCCGTTCGGGACACTTTGGGCCTCGAAGGTCTGGCCCACATCACATCCTCGCTGGAACACTCTCTGTACGCGGGCGTACGCAGTGGCGGATGCTCGAGAGGCGAGACGAGATGAAATAGAGGTTCGGGGCCCGAAGTTGCCGTACTGGTACAATGGGCGTATACCAGCGTCACGCCTGCGTGTTGAATCCTCTAGTGCTTGCAGTATACGACAAGGTGCACGCGCGGCCGAGATGTCTTCCTGTCCACAAGATAAAATGTATGTCTCCTAGTTACTGGTGTTAGTAGGAGCGGATACCACACCTACAGCCTCACAGCTGCCCAGGAGAAAAGCCTCCCTCTGCAAATTTTCTCGATATGACGGGGACAGCCTGCGAACTGCGGCCAGAGACCATCTCGCTCCAGAGGTGAAGCGGACCTCATAACTTAGTGCCAACCTCATTGAGTACGGCGATCACGGCACCCTAGGAGGAAATCGCAATCACTCGCGTGCCAGGGAGTGACGAACAGATGCCTGGCCCTCGTGCGCGTATGTACCTTGTCCGTCGTCACTTCCTCCTCGTCAGCGCACTCTCGATACGAGGTTAATTGTCTCCACCCACCCTGGCGAGGCGTGAGCAGCAGCCATGACGAAACACGTAGGCTGGAAGGAGTTCATGAAAAAGAGGATGATTATTCTGAACAATGTCTCCGAGCCGCCGGCGCTCTCGGCCTTCATAGACATCTGCGCCGTCGTCCTCAGCGAGAAAGTTAGAGTCTGGCCGAGTCGCGAAGCAGAGAGAGCGTTCGGCGATTAACACAACAGTAGCGCTGTGTTATTAATGGAGACCCGTGGTTGCCTCCTTCGGGGACGTTCGAAAAAAAAGTATGAAACGGTGGCAGGATATTCCAACAACGCCTGCAGCTGCCACCAGCCCGACCAGCGGACCCGTACGCGTACCCACGCCCATGGCGGGAGACGGGGCCGCTTTTGGTGGCGGGGCCCCCCCTAGCAGGGACAGCAGTTTAGGCCCTGAACGTGGTCGCCAATTCAGCGACGCCGGCGTTCATACCGGCGCCATCGACCCTAGTAATATCCCAGGGTCGCCTAACAACTGGACGTACACGTTGCAGCAAAGACCGGCGAAACTCAGGGTGCAGACGGTTTTGCGCGCTTGGCGTCCTAATTGTCTCCAAGTAGTTAATGCTAGTTGACGCATGAATAGAAAGGTACACGCGGAGAGACTGCCGCCGCGCAACCTCTGGACTTCAGCTCCGTATACATAGCTGGTAGTGGTGCATGGCCTCGACGAAGGGCAGCCTTGTATCTACGTGTGTAGGTATAGCAGTGCTAGTGAGGCAGCCCAGATCTATCCAGATGATGTGTTTGCGGCTGCATGTCCGCGAAGCAAAAAGAATTCTCATGAGCAGCTGCACCGTGGGGCAGCTGTGAATGCTGAAATTACGTTTGGAACAGGGCGCACTGAGCAAGAGCTATACGCGTCCAGGTCCGCCTGCAAGGGTGTGGACGACATTGTATGTGTTTGCGTATGCTCCGCATGTGTGAACTTCGTATGTATACGCGACGCTCACGCACCGACACGTCTCCGGGGGCCGCCAGCTTCAGGACCCCTCTTTCCCCTAGTTAGCGTGAGCCCACTTAGTGGGGCGGCCACACCCGTGTTCCCGACGCGTCTTCAGTCGATTGTTCAGCCACTGTGGGCCAGCACACATGCACACGGCAACCGTCGGTGTCCGCCCTTCGGCGCTTACGGCGTTTTGGTGCAGCGGGTGATGCTGCGTGATCGTACTGGCACTGCTTCCCCCACGCCTACGCCTTGAGTCTGATGCGACGCCTGGGTTCGCTGGACTGTGATGCTGTCCGGATGGCGTACGCTGGGGAGACGCACTGGGTATTTGCATCTGGACGCCTGTCAGCCGCTGCCTAGCCTTTTTTCTGCAAGGCCACCAAGCGGGATGCTGATTGTGCCTTGGTGCTGCCGCCGGCGGGGGCTGCCTCCGGGAAGTGCCGCGGCCTCACGCGTATGTGCGCTGTTGTTCCAGTAGCGTGCAATATAACGACGCGTGCGACATCCGCATGCTACCGTTGTATTTCGCGCGAACAATTAGAGGCCTGTCCTTCGGCGTCCCCCGCTGTGTACTAGCAGAGTACTGCCAGCTAACGAAGAAGGACCCCGGGGGCGCGTAAAGAAAAGTTGTTGTGCCTCGATCTCTCTGGGGCTCCCCGTTGTCGTTTTGAGGATGGTTCGGTTTTGTGGACCCATGAATGGTATACCGCCACGTAGCCACGCGTAGTCCATGCAGATCCAGACCACGTATCTCGCTCCGGGGAAAGCCTAAGGAGGCGCGCACACAGAGGTCGCTGTCGTGGTTCGTAGTCACTGCTGTACGTAGTACAGTCACTGCACACGGGGCACTTGGCCAACGTGGAGCCCGTAATGGTACACTTACACTTGAACGTCCACAATCTGGGCACTTAGCCAACGTGGGGCCTGTAAAGGTACACTTAGACCTGAACGTCCACACTCTCTAGCACAAGCAGATGTATTCACTTGCACGACCCCCGCATTTGTTACTTCCGTATGCATCGTTCGAGTCGCGTACTCTTTACGGTCTCTGGAGGCTGCTGTGCCCAACGCGTCCGCCATACGTAGGGGTCACCCACGTCGGTGGTCCTCCTCCTTCTGCAGACGTCCAGACCGGCGTGATGTCCTCATTGCTGTTGCAGGTGCATAATGGTTCTTGTAGGGCTGCGCTGTAGAGTGAAGTACTGCCTACGGAACCCGTTCATCTTTGTGCGGTGTGCTGCCTCTCTAACAGCCCGCGTTTGCTCTAGACGGCAGACCTCGGTACCGGTGCGCTGTGAAATAAAGTAACGCGTACGGCACACGTTCATCCTCGGGGGGGTGTGCTGCTTTTTTAAGAGTTCGCCTTTGCTCTCGACCGCAGATCTCGAATTGGGGTGCCATGTGTGCTAACCCGATCTGTGTAAATGAACACGACGACCGACATGTCTGCCACTGCGCACAGCACGCCCGCTGTTTCGTGAGACCATATTCTCGAGGTTGTGCGGCTTGCCGCATCACATGTTCCGCTGAGCGACCTTGTTTGCGGGTGTACCGCACCTGAGAAGTTTACCAGATATCCTCTCGCTGTGCTGCTCTCCGGGAATGTAGGGATGAGTTTCGCCAACAAGGGGCATGCCGTGCTCTCCGCGGCAGAGGACTGCAGCTAGGTGGGTGGCCATGGATAAAGGCGCGGGGTCCTACGTGTCTGCCGCCGCTGCGAATGCTTCAGGGATTTCTGCACTTGCCTGGGCGAGGACATGCTGGCACGTCGCCATGCCGCTTCAGCACTGGCCTCGTAAGGCCTGTCGGCGACTGAGTACCGAGCTACCCAACGATTTTAGAGCGCGTTCTTCTCTTCTTGCGTGGAGGCGCAGTCGAACGGACGACCGTACAGAAACTTTCACCAGAACTCTGCATTGTCTCACACACCCTGGACTACATTAGCAAGCCGTGAGAGCGAGTAAAGACTACCTAAGCACCAGTTGAGACAGCATCCTCCTCTTCCTGCATTCAGGCGCAGCCGAGCAGGCGACCATTCGGAGGTCCGTAGCACAGTCTCTCAGTGTGTCGCTACACCATGAGCTCTACGCGTACCGTAGACAGAAGTACCTGCTTTCCACGCTGATGGATCTGAGGCATTAAAAGGAGAAGTCGTGCTGGAGGTGTCAGTCTTTCCTTTTCCGGGAGTGTCGGGGGGGCCTGTGGACGACTGAGCTTTGCTCGGTTTGTACATTATTGGAAAGCGCTTCTTCCCTTCCTTCGTTGGGTGTTATTGACGGGGCGACCTTACGGAGGTATATATCAGAGCTGTGCACGATGCCCTTAACATCCGTCTCCTAGTGAGGAGCCCAAGCGGAAGGGCATGCACACACTCCGGCCTAACCGCTTGCACGGGTCATACAAGTGTGTTTACTGTAAATAGAGATTTCACATATAGAGGCATACATACATGGATAATTGATCGTCACCTGCCGTTGTCTACCCTTGTTTTCCGCTGGAGACGAGGAGCAGTATCTTTGGCTGACAGGAGCCTCCTGCGGGGCCGGCCCAGTGATTCGTCGAATTTAGGCGCTTGACAGCAGCGAAAGGTTTCGATCTCCAGCGTGTCAGAAAGTCTCTTTCTCAAAATGGAAAGTGCTCGATCATTACATTGCTTGCAGACGCTGAGAAATTACATATCTGCAAGTTGTGAGCCACGCCATTCGTCCAGGCATATTGTATTCTATCACGATCGGCATACCTTTGATGAGGGAGGCAGGTGCTGATGGGCTGATAACGCTTGGCGGTCGCATACTCCCTTCCCAGTCGGAAAACTACGACCTCATACGTGCAGTGGCGAAAGAAATACGCAACCACCACAAGATTCCTCGTTTACAGAGCAGCCGGGCACCTCGTGTGCGTCGTGAGCAAATCATTACTCATGCAGCAGAAGGCTAGCCACATTTGCTGAGCAGCAGGACACCCGTACGTTTCGTGAAAAACAAACTTCGTGCACCAGAACGTTGTGCACGTCCACTAAGGAACGGCACACCTCATGAGTATGGTGGGAAAAATTTTTATGCGCCCGGAAGTTCCTCGCGTTTATCAAGCAGCAGCACACCTCGTCAGTATGGTGAGCAAAAAATACCGATGCGGCGCAGAGTTCCGCATAATCATCAAGCAGCCTCTCCGTGACTCCTCGTGGCCCGTGGCCCTTCTTTTCTCTTTCGTATCAGCCACGCCTCTGCCACAGCAGTTGAAGCTCATGCAAGAGGAGCGGCGCGCCGATAGAGGTAGAAACAGCGGTAAATGTATGGGCCCCGCAATCATGGCCTTCGCAGGGCCGTAGGCGCTAATAGCCACGCCAGACTAATCCAACAGGAGAGAGTGCGTGTGCAGACGGCCTGCACATGTTTGTCACGTGCAAGCGGAGGTGAACAAATCCGGCGTGTCTTGTGCAACGACCCTGGGGCAGATGGTCTGCACGTCGTGAGTACATGCGAGCGAATGCAAGTCACACGCGTGCGTCTCTACTTCCTCGAGAATAGGCGCTTGAGGGAATGATGCACCAGCCAGTGTGGGAGCAGACGGCGTTTCAAGACGAGCTGCACGGCGTCTTCGAGCCCGCGCGACGCTGTATACGCCTGCAGTATGGTGCCCTGGGTGGTTTCATCCCTGTGTGCGTTATCCTCCCCAGATATCTACAGGGCACTGCAGTGACCACTGCACAAGCATGCAGTGTCTTTTGGCCCCTCGGAGCATACTTGTTTTACGGAGCACCTGAGGAGAGTGAAAGAACATATGTGCAGGATCCTTCGAAGCACGCGCAAAACCTATATATATATATATACATATACGCGCATATCTGCGTTTGTATATATATCGGTGCATACATATGCACATACGTAACTGTATTCGTATACGTATCTGTGCACATACATGTATATATACACAAAAATGTATATGTATGTATACATATGTATATATATATATATATATATGTTTGTATACATATGTGTGCATATCCACACTCGTGCAGAACGCCGGAAAGGAATTCTAGAGTATTAGAACTCCGACCGCGAGTGTATGGCGGAGCAGGCCTCTTCACGCGTATACATCCTTGCACAACTAGTAGATCAGCTAGGTCTCCGCTCCGGTGCACACACGTGCATACGCATATATCTCTGAGTCTATCGATCTTCTACATTTGTCCGCCGTGTACTGAGCTGAGTAATGCCGTCTCAAATATCCTGCCTGTAGTGCCAGCTATGGCGAATGTGTGAGACTTTCTCCCAGAGAAAGAGGAGGCTTAGCGTGATTCGCTTGGGTTCATGAAATCCTATGTTAGGAGAGGAGCACAATCCTTGGCAAAAAAGTTGAAATGTGCGAGTCCCTCCAGAACGCCCCCTGCAGCATACACAGGAAGCCATGCGACAGTCCTGGTATATGTGGGGCTCCCGTTTCCCAGCGGTAGAAAAAGTGCTTGACAGGCAGTAGATTAAAAGTACATATATATATGTGTGTATATATATATACATACATATATATATATATACATATATATATATATATATGTATATATACACGTGCGTAATTATGTATGTACAAGTATATGTCCATATATACATACTCATCTACGTGTATATGCTTCTGTGTCCATGGATGCCTGTACGCACATGTATGCTTGTATGTATGTATGTTTGTATGCGTGTAGCTGTACATATGTACGTACCTGTATACGCGTACTTCTACATGCACACAGAAAATGTATATACGTACGTGTATGTATTTGCATAGAGATTCTGTATGCTTCTACAACATGTACAAAGCTGCATTTTGAGCGTGCAAAATTGCTGAGCCGAGGCACACCCACTACGAGGGTAGCCACAGTCCAGGACAAAATGCGCAGGTGGCAGAGCCCGCCTTAAAAGTAGTCCATATTTCACTCCTTGCGTGGCTTTTATGAAAAGAGCTGAGCATCCGTTTGTCACATCGCTGAAGTGCACGCAGGAAGTTCAACGCGATACACAAAGAATGTCGCCTGCGTCCTCCGTTCGGCTGGCATCGGTCGTCACGGGCATTTCAAAGCCACATGCGTGCTAAATAAGAATGTACGCATACATGTGAATGTCGATTACACGTATGTGTATTGCAAGAATGCATGAAGGTAAATGTCCATCTCACGTGCAGCTGTGCGTAGTAAAGATATTTGTAAACGTATATGTCGATGTGGCTTCACCACGCGTGTATAACAGGTATGCGTAGACGCGGACGTCGTTGTGGCTCCACATGTGTGCAGCACAGAGATGCGCAGAGGTAAGTGTCGCTTGGCCTACACATCTGTGCAGTTGAAACGTACGTAGACGTAGACGTCGATTCAGCTCCACATGTATGTATTGCAGGGATTCATAGACGTAAGTGTCGCCTGAGACCCGCATGTGTGCAGTCGGAACGTACGTAGAGGTAAACGCCGACGCAGCTCCACATACGTAGGCAGTACAGAAATACCATTAAACGTACGTATGCCTCGAGCTCCCCGTGTCTGCGGCTAAACCATACGTAGACGTGAAGGTCGACGTAGCTACACACAGTTATGTAGTACAGAGACACACAGACGTCAGTGTCGCGCGAGCTCTACGTGTGTGCAGGCTGAACATACGTGGACGTGAACGTCGACGCAGCTTCACCTCTATGTAGTACAAGTATACATAGACATGCACGTCGAATAAGCTTCAAATAGTCTGTAGTTTAAATATCCTTTTACGTGAACGTCGACCTCGCTTCAATGGTGTGTAGTACAGAGTACACGGACGTGAACGTCAATTGCGCTCCAGTTGCGTGTAGTACGGATAAACAGAGACGTCGAAGTTG